TGAGTCTAAAGTGTACAATAGCAGAGCATTTAGAAATATGTAACGTGATCAAGTAGATTTAGCATGGCTTCATGAAGGAGAAACTTTGAAAAAATTACTGGAATTGGTTGAGGAAGTAACAAGGGGGATAAAGGGGAAGCAATGCATGTAATTTGGATTTTCAGAAGATATATTTGACAGTTATCACACTAGGCAGCTTAAGATTAAAGCATGGTGTTGGGGTAATGCAGTAGTGGATGACTGGTTAACTAATAGATTTGGGAAAAGGGGAGCATTTTCAGGATGGAAACCCATAAGTAATGGAAAACCACAAGGATCAGTGTTAGAGCCATAATTATTTACTATATATATTAATAACTTGGATGAGGGAAGTGAATAGCCAAGTTTGTGAACACTGCAACAATAGGTGAGAAGGCACGTGGTGAGGATGACAGTCTGCAGAGCAACATAGACAGGTTCAGCGAGTAGGCTAAAACCTGGTACATGGAATATAGTGTGGGAAAATGACAGATGATGAGGAGCTGATTATTATTTAGAGAGAAAGACTACAAAAAGCTAAAGCACAGAGGGATTTGGGAATTTCCATGCCTAAATCACAAAAAGCTAGCATACAAGTTCAGCAGGGAAGACAAATGCAATGTTGGCCTTTATTTTGAAGGAAAGAGTAGAACTAGGGAGGCCGTGACAAAATTACATTGGGTACTAGTTAGACCTCACCTAGAATACCGTGAGCAGTTTTGGGCCCCTTACCTAAAGGGAGATACAATTGGCAATCAAAACAAGCCAGAATGTTCTCTAGGTTAATCCTGAATATGGAAAGACTCTTAAGGAAAGGTAGAGTAAGTCGGGCCTGCACTCCATGGTCTTTAGAAATAGGACACTGTATTAAGACACAAGATTCTTAGGGGGTTTGGTAGGGTAATGTAGAAAAGTAGTTTCCCCTTGAGAGAGTCTAGGACCAGAAGGATAATCTCAGTAAGGGGTTACCTATTTAAGACTGATGAGGAGGAATTTCTTCAGAGAGAATTGAACCTATGTAATTCTTTACTTAGAATGCTGTCACGGCTGGGTTTTTAAGGGAACCAATGGTTATGGGGCAAAGGCAGGAAAGTGGAGTGCACGTTATCAGATCAGGCATGATCTCATTGAATGGCAGAGCAGACACAATGAGCTGACTGGCCTGCTTCTGTTTCTACATCTTATGGTCATTCTATTGCATGCTACTAATCGCCAAAGCCAGTAATTAGTGTACGAGGTCAATAAAGCTCTCTACCAAAATACTTGAGCATCACCTAGGTCCATGACTGACCAATTTACAATTGTGCACAGCTCTTCCTAAACAAAGGACGCAAAAATAACCTGCTTACTGGGACAAGATCTAATTCTTACATAGTTCTAAAGACATTAATCTCATTAAGTTTATGCTTCTTTAAATTAAAAAGCCCTAGTGTTTTCATAGCCAATTGTGGTAACAGCAATTAGATAGTCTTCTGCATTCCCCAACATGTTTTTGTTCCACCTTTACTTTTAGCGAATACTTACAGACTACTCTACCTCGATAATTTGTGTGCAAAACCAGATACCAACATGTTCTTATTCATTATTTTGAGCATCACGCAAGTGCACTGTTCAATCTAAGATGGAGAGTGTCAGAACCAACTAAAGATGCTTTTTGATTTAGTGTTATGAGATACTCCCCGTGAAACAGTAAAGCTTCCAGAGATCAAGAAGAGTGTTTCTCAAAGATTGTTCAGTGTTACCCATTAATCATTAAACTTAAATTAAGAAACTCCACTCAAAGTAGCCTCACACTAACTGCAGTTGAACATTCATTAAAGACACCCATCTTGCTGTCTCCTTGCTAATTAGATTGGACTATTATTCTGTAACCAGGTGAAGAATGTCCCTTTTATTTCTCTATTTTGGGCATCATCCATTTGCTGCACTGGGTGATACACTCTAGGCTACTGCACAATATTAGGGAATACTTCAAGTCAGTAGATCTATGCATGCATGAATGCATACAAATGACCAGAACTTTGTTTTCTCTGGCCACAATGAAATGCAGCAATTACTACTTGGGTCTTTGAGGCCCAAACTGCTCTCTCTAGCTGTAAAAATAACAACGAACCACAAGCTTCTCCAACTGCTCATGATTTGGAGGGGGGGAGGGGGGTGCAGGGAAGAGGGGTGGGGAAGGTGTGAGATTTGCAATCATGCACTAGAAATATCCAAGTTCCACTCCCATATTAGGAACCAGTGAGAAAAAAAACAAAATTCATCTTTGCTTTTTAAATTAAACTGAGCCAGGAGGACACTATGAATATTAAGTCTACAAGTTCTTTGAAGAGTAATTTATTTCAAATAGGATTAAGGTTCTTGCATTTTTCTTCTCAGTACAAAAGATTGCCTACATTTTCTCCTAATGAAAATATACAGCAGTAACTGAAAACAGAGTATAACAGTATAACGGACAAAGTAGCTTAAAATAAAATAAATAAATTCAATTATGATCTTTAGTAAACATTTCCAAAGTGAAGGCAGCATTCTGAAAGAACAAATCGCACTCATCTTTTTAAAAATACATTTGGACATACACAATGGCAACTTCTTCCAATGGCACAACAGAATCTTTGAAGAAACTTCAGACTGGTTTGGGGTTGTACTTCACTGGATAATACTGGAGGTAATTCTGTTGAAACTTCAATTGATTAATCAAAATAAATTAAAAGCAAAGCTGAGTTTTAAATGGGATGCAGGAAGAAGAAGAAAACGCAAGGTATGATTATTTGTTAAAACTTGGGCTGCTAATTAAAATGTCCCTTTAATATTCAAACAGGAGCATGCTCTGTCTGAAGCAGTCTGTAAACCTGCCAACATTGGATCTCAACCCATGATGCAGACATTGCAATTTGCCACTTCTTTTCAAAAACTAAAATGTTGAAAAACTACAAAAACAAGGTTCTTTTCTGAAGTATGTGAATATATTTCAGGTGGTCGAATGTCAGACTGTGGCACAAATAAATTTCAGTGCCAGACCTCCCCATTTTCCCTAAACTACCACAGACAAAATTCATGGCTATATGTCTCAACTCCAACAGCAATCTGCCTAATAAACTACTGTACTAGTGTAACATTAGGCACACCTTTCCAGTTATAAATTCAAGATAAGGCAGCTGTATTTTGGACCAAATAAAAGACTTCATTAGAAAACAAAATTGCTGGAACTGAGTGATCTGTATGACTTTAACATTAAGCAGTCAAAAGGACAAATTGTCAAAACAAAACTACTTTTAGTCAGTGAAAATATATCATCCAGTTGAGTATTGAAAGGCATGTATTCGATACGACCAGAAATATTTCTGTACACTCAAGTAACAGCTGGAACATGAGGCAAATATTGACATGACAATTACCTTAATTCTTTGCAGGCAAAAAGATAAGCAGACAAATAATTTCCGTGATCAGCACCTCTGTTTTACAAAATACATACAAAAACAATGAAATTACAGCCACAGCAATGCATCAAAATCTTCACCTTGCCCTACAGGCAGATGAGCACGAGGTTGGGGTTAGTATAGGTATTTCAAAGAGTCGGTACTTCAAAAGAGTAAAAAGAATTGGCTGCTTTTATTTCCAGCAGGTTTTCCTAGTTAAAATTTTGAGTTTGTGAAAAATACACTTTCCAAAAATGGAGGGAAAATATTTCACAATTTCAGGCTCATTTAAAATTAGAAAGTTACAGTATGGTCCATGTAAAATACCAGAGACAGATATAAAGAAAGTGCATAAGAGTTAGCAATGAATGTGCTTGATTCAGGGACATAGAAAGGAACTTGACAGCAATAGCCAAAATCATTACTGCCAATGCTGGGACAATGAGGTGAAGTTGCTAAAGTGTGTGACAGTGTACACATCCAGTAATGGCCGTGCAGGGATTGGAAAACAAACTGGTCAGAGCAGAGGTGAGTTAGTACATTCAATCATGGAAATGAAATGGTTTACAGAGAATCAGGAGATTGATCCTTGGTGTAAAGCAGTGAGGTTGGACAAAGCGGAGAAGTTGAAACACAGTCATGGTGCAGGTTTAGTACTTTAGACACAAACCTACTCTTGACAGCTGGGCTGAGTAGAAACATTTCAACGTCTGAAGAATAAAAGAAATTAAGATTTTGTGAAGATAAAGGCTGGGTGGGGAAATACATCAGCAATCATGGCCTCTATGTAGGACATTCCTGAATACTACTTTAAAGTACAGATAGAAGTGTAGGATCAGGACACACAAAGCACTGGAAAAATAATCCAAATCAGTGATTAGGAAGGACTTCAACGTGAGTGATGAACACTTGGAATTGGTCAGGCAGGGTGGTGGAAACAAATATACAAGATGTGAGCTAGATGTCTACCTCCCACCCCTGACTCTCTGCAGCAAGCTAAACATGGTACAAAAGGTCCAGTTTCATTCACATCTTTTGACTAGGTTGACCTCAATGAAGTGGGGAAATGGGAGAAGGGAGTTGGGCAGAAACATTCAGAATTGTACTACCAATTTTGGTCAGATGGAATTGGGCTGAGTTTGGGACCATTCACTCAGCTGTCGCTGTCCCCAGATTTGAGAATGTCCTGACAATGTGTCAGGCTAAAGTGCAAAAAACAAGTTTTGGTGAGACATCAGGGGTGCCCAGCACCTGCAGAATCATAACACAAGATTCAGTCAGGAGTGTACAAGAGAAAAGGGGCTAAAACTAACCTGCTGGGGCAGGACTGTAGATGCTCTTAAAAAGGCAATCAAGCATTGAAACAATTGCTTAATGTAGGAGTTGCTGCAAGGCATATCCATGATCAAGTTGCATGTTAGAACTAAACTGGAAGTTTACAGTCCAGATTGAAAATACTAAAAAGTGAAGATGTACTTTGGGGAAAACGAAGACTCACCAAGGACTACATTTGCTGGAACAGAGAACCATTTTCTTTCCACAACACCATTGGAAATTGTTTTAAACGACAGGACAGACATGTCTGGTTTTCCACTTTTTGGACCTCATTTGAAAGTAAAAGTACATGACCATTATGAAAAAACATGATGCTGCATATAACATGACACACAAACTCATGTCTACATTGGAAAACCCAATTCCAAAAAATGAAACTGATTGTTTAAGCTCTTTCTTCAGACTGGCTGTTTCCTGGTGAAATGAAATTCTTTTCTGGCTACTATCAGCCAAATCGCCCTTCTCTTGTTTTATCAAGGCGCCAAGTCTCGGGTTTTGGGCTGGGTTCTGAGGATTGGCATTTTGTTCCTTATGGCCATTACCCAGTTGATATGGTACTTGTTTTTTAACCTCACTTTGATTATTTTCTAGAGCTGCTTTTTTTGTCTTATTGGCTTGCAATTCATATTCACTATATTTCAAGGAAATGTTGTCCACACTGTAATAAGACTTCAAAAATATTAGAACTTCTTTCTCATTCCACGTATGAAGGCCCTTAATCTCTTCATGACATGTGGGACAGTGGTTCGGAGTTGGCCATGCAACCTTAGGGAACATTGGATCCTCACTTGGAGCACCTAATAAAGCAAAAGAAAACAAAATCAAAACCAAAAGAAATACTATATCCTAAATGCCAATTGCAAACATTATTTTGAAAATGGATGCAAGCATTCAGAGATGAACCTCAAGTTTTTTTTGGGTTTGCAGTCTTCTAGGGCTATTTCTAAATTATTGTCAGTTAATGGATCAAAGTTTTAACCTTTCTTGCATAGGCCACTGAATAGCTATCCAATCACAGAACATAGTATTAAAGACACTGAGCAAAGAGTTCACCGCATAGTAAAAGGTTTCATTGGATGCATCAAAAAAAATAGGAAAAGGAAGTGAAGTAGACCATTCAGCCCGTTAAGCTGTATTTGTCATTCAACATGATATGGTTAACTTTCTACTTAATGTCACGTTATTGCTCTCCCAATACCTCTTTGCCTTTTAGCCTCTAGAAAACTATGGTTTAAATATAGTGAACTGGCTTTCACAGGCGTCTGTGGTAGAGAATTCCACAGATTCGCCATTCAAGTGACAAAATCACTCATCTCAGTCCAAAATGAAACGTGACCTCTTATTCTCGAACACCAATGTCTCCCCCACCCCCAGTCAAGAGCAGAAACATCCTTGCACGCAGTCTATCCAGCCCTGGCAGAAATTTATATATTTCAATGAGATCCCCTTTCATTCTTTTAAAATCCAGTGAATGCAAACCAGTCAATCCATCAGTACAACTGCAAATTTGAACACTTAACAAGAACCTTGTTTCGTTGAAAATTACAACTCATCCATTAGTTCCAAACTCTGCAGCATATGAGGGAACAGTTTTAAATGTATGAGGCCTTGTAGGCACTTATTTGCTAAGAATAATTCCATCTTTTCCCCCCACTCCTTTCACCTGTAATCAGATCCAACATCCATGTGGCTCGCACTCAGATTAAATTTTACAAAAAGAGTTAAACAGATGGATTTCTTTTTCCATTCCTATTTTCTATTCAGCTCTGGTGCTTAATGAAGGACAAATTTGTCAGAATGATCTCAATATTACCCAACTGAATAACAAGATTGAACTAATCCCACACTCAAATTCAGCCTTGAGAAGAAAACATCACTTAAGCAACAGATAATTGAACACCTGGACATCAGTTGCTGTATTCATAGCGATTGGTACTTGTTATTCTTGCCCGGAAAAACAAAAATCAGAATTTTCACTGCCCTTCGTCTTGTTGAGATGCATTTCTATGCAAGTCATAAATTCAGTAAGTGTTAGGAAAATCTGTTGCTGGATGTCCTGCCAAATTACATAAATATAGTTAACATTCCATTAATGTGGAACAGTCACTAGGTGCCATTGTCAGACTGATTAACCCCTAATGAATAATAAAGCTACAGTATGTTTCTTGATACTGTCACAATACCTTGAAAATACATTGACAGTAAACATACAGACAACAACATTTGGAGGTGGTTGGAAAGGGGAGAGCGAGAGTGAGAGAACACACAGCCACAGCAATAGGCGGAGGGGTGTGAGAATCAAGGGCACAGTCAAAGGGGCTTCTGAGAGGGTCTTAAAAGGAGGAGAATGCAGTCAAGGGACTCCAGAGTATGGAAACTTGGCAGCTTAAAATAGTTGTCAGCGGCAGTGTGATAAAGCTGGAGTCAGACGAATGGAGTTGTAGAAATTGAGAAGGCTACGAAATTAGTGAAGAGTCAGACTAGGTCAAGATTTAAACACAGAAGATAATTCTACAATTTATATGTTCAAGGACCTAAAATTGTTAAAAAGACAGAACAGCAGTTGAATTGCATGCAAGGCAGGATGGATGGGGCATCAAAATTCTCAATGAGCTGAAATTTACACAAACCAGTGAGGGAAAGCCAGCCAGTACAGCATTGGAATAATCAAGTCAGGTGGTGACACACAGAGATCCTGTGGCAGATAAGCAGAGAAAACTCGGAGCATTTTCCAGATAAACTCAATAAGGAAACAGACCCTTCAGTCCAAACCAAGTCCACACCAGCCATGTTCCCAAACTAAACTAGCCTGCCTGCATTTGGCCCATATCATGAACTTATCCAAAGGTCTTTTAAATGGTATAACTGTACCTGCATCCACTACTTTCTCTGGCAGCTCATTCCACACACTAACCACTGCGTAAAAAAAGTTGCCCCTCATGTCCTTTTTAAAAATCTTTCTCCCCTCGCCTTAAAAATATGTCTTCTAGTTTTCAACTCCCACACCCCAGGGAAAAGACCCTTATCAGTCACCTTATCTATGCCCCTCATGATTTTATAAACCTCACCCCTCAATCTCCTATACTCCAGCAAAAAAAAACGTTCAGCCTTTCCAGTCTTTTATTTCTCAAACCCTCCATTCCCAGCACCATACTGGTAAATCTTTTCTGAACTCTCCCCAGTTTAATAATATCCTTCCTATATCAGGGGGACCAGAACTGCACACAGTACTCCAGAAAAGACCTCACCAACATCCCGTACAACCTCAACATAACTTCCCAACTCCTACACTCAAAGGTCTTGTTGTGGAAGGAAGTCTTCTCATCTCTCCCTCCAATTAAACTGGCAATCATTTTAAATCTTTGTTGTTTGGTTACTGCCCTTTTTGCCAGAGGAGACTGTTTCTCAATATTTGCTCTATAATATCACCGTATAATTCTGAATGCCACTATCAAATTTGCCTTGGTTCTTCCCTATACTGAGGAGAACACCTCCAGCCTATTGAAGATAAACACACTGCATTCTCTCACTGATGCTAAGTTACTATAGCATTTTTTTTTGGGCGGTGGGGGGCGGAGCGGGCAGAGGAAGAGGGAAATAGGGCAGACGATGTGCTGTGATGGAGAATATAAAGTGGTTGCAGTGAGAAAAGGACGGAGGAGGTCACAACTAATCAACCAGTCAGGTGGAAAATAAAAGTGAAATTGTGGGAAATAAAAACAACTGCTGGGAAAAGCTCAGCAAGTCTGACAGCATCTTTGGAGAGAAATCAGTTAACATTTCTGGTCCATTGGCCCTTCTTCAGAACTGGGACATCAGGTGGGAATCTGGAACTCACTGATTGTAAAGTAGTCGTAGAGGCTGAAACCCTAAACTTTTAAGTATTCAGTTGTACACTTACAATACCAAGGCATACAGGGTTATGGGGCAAGTACTGGAAAATGGGATTTTAATAGGTAGACAGTTGTTTTTGGTGCAGATTCAAAAGGATTGAAGGGCCTTTTTCTGTGCTGCAGATGTCTATAACTGTGAAAGACTGCTCAGGATAGCAGAAATTAAGTCAGTAGCAACAGTAGAGAGTGGGTTGGAGCTGAAGTGGCTTATTCCACTCCCATCCAATGTCTTGACAGTACTAGCTATTCATACACTAGTAATCTCAAGTGGGTTACTTCAGTATTAAAAGTAACAATAAAGACTTGATGCACAAAGCTAGTCCTAAACAACAGTCTCACTTTATACAGCAACAAGAAATTCCAAATCATTGCAGAACAGGCTTGAGAGACTGAATTGCCAACTCTTGCTCTTGCATGTGAACAGTTCTAAACAATCCATTTTAAAGTTACAAATATTAGGAATATTGGTTTTGAAAGGCTTTCTTCCACTTTGCATACAGAGTATTTTGTCTAAATTGGCTATTCAAAACATTCCAACAAAATTAGAGAACCATACCAAGCACAGGGGACACATGCAAGACACAAGCCTTCCATCTAACAGTTATGCCCAGAATTAAGTAAAGCTAAGTGTGTGAGTAGAATGCAAGGTATACTTGTTCTAAACAATAATAACCTATATAGTCTACATCATACCCAATAGCACACTACAAGTCATTGCAGATCATATGATCCCAGGGACTGAGTGTGAATCTTAAAAATACACCTGTAGGAAATGAAAACCATTTCCTTCTACTTGCATGACCCCTTGTGCAATAAGTGCGATTTGCTAAGGTGACTATCCAGAACACACTGCACCTTTTATACTAAAAGTGCAATGAATAACTAGAGATAGATTGCAGCAGAGGAAAATTATATATTTGTGAATTTATACTTCTGTGCAGAATTGCGATGTGGAAATTATACAGGCACTTTTCAAATATAAATGAATACAAAAAAAATTAAAGAAAATAAAAGCCCAGTCTCCAGGTTTTTAAATGAGAAAGGCCAAGAACTGCTGAAAGTTTTATGCGTACATTGTGCCTAAAAAGGTATGGTCTGACAGACACATTGTTCAGTTTTAACTGCCTCCTCTACCAGCTGTTTCTTTGAAGCCTGTTCTGTATGGGCCTTGAGCCTGGTTAACAATTCAGTGCAACACAACTAAAACAAAACCAACTGGCTCCCACTCTGTGGGCCGTGAATAAGGGTTCTCTCTTTCACTGGTTATTGGTTGACAGATGACAGCTTGTGTCATAAGTCTCCTGCGAAGGAACGGAGATGGGGGTGCACATGTGCGTCTGTGTGTGTGTCAGGGTGCGTGTGTGTGCGTGCGCGCACGCGCGCGTCGGGGGGAGGGGGGGTGTGTGTGTGCGTGCACGGACAGTTTCTCAGAGGCCACGGTCATCCCTCACTTGATATTTGTGTTTTTAAAACTCATTATTTGGAGACATGCAAGCCTACACTGCATACAACAGCAAAACTTCAAAATAAATGTTACAACACAGCTGTCCAGTAGGACTTAAGACTACATTTCTCCCGTCTCATACAAAACAGGCTGCTCTTCAGTTGCATGGGCAGAAGCACAGAGGTTGCTACTAGAAGTCGATCAGTGTAGCTGCAGCTGCAGAGCACAATTAATTTACGCACATCCCTGCTGTGGTGTTATTGTACATTTGTCAGTATCAATCATTGTTCTCGCCATTTGGTCTTGTGTTAGTAAATGGGTCCTATTTTATGGATCATTACACAGGCTTGGGTATTCAGTATATGGTATAGATAAGGAAAAATTTATCTGGAATAAACTGCAGCAACAATGCCTGAACAGACAGGCCACGCTGCCCTCTAAGGGTGGTCCTTCACAAAAC